ATCATAACTATGAAAAAAGTGATTAATTTGGTATACCTCGTACCCTTGTAAAAAGTTAAACATTAACTTTGAATAGCTAGTGTGAAAAAAAATTGTATGAAACTGAATTTATAAACGATCTTAAAAACTACTCCACTTAATGCACAATCAGGAATTGTACAATACTATTGACATTTTTGACAAGAACTTAGTCATTTAATTTTTTTTCGACATCAACACCCTACTAGCCGATTTGGTTTCTAAACAAAAATTGTGTTAAATTATTGAGCTTTATGACTAACTACTCTGTCGCTAGGCCCCAGGTAGTAAAAAATGAGCGAGAGGTAGACCCTTATTTGTTATCTCTCTCTTACGTCGGTGTCGGTCGCCAGGTGGGATCGGGTCGGGTCGGGCCCGTAGTACCCGTTAGTACAAGCCTTTCAGTCTTACTACAAAAGATTTAATAATCACCGTTTTAACATGCGTTTACTTAGTCAGTGACTAAGTCTTTAAACATTGTTTAAAACAGTGTTTAACGTGTCGTACCACAAAACCATGTTTAACGCCAGTCTTTGTAGACAAAGTATAAACACAGAAATAATATTCATCTATGGCAGCACTAGAATTCATTCATTCAGTCATTCGCCGTTTGTCCCCATCTTTTCTATTTTACGCAGATCCAACAGTGGTTTATTAATAATTTTAAAATAACTAGCAATGTTTTGTCATAAAATAATATAAAATAATTTGCAAGTTGTACAATACAATGCAAGAATTTGTTAAAATGTATTTTTTTTATTTTACCTTATAGCCTGTTTTGTTAATGGGTAAAGCGTAACGGAACGTAGTTTTTACCTGAACCTAAGAGAGGACTGATAGGGCGTGTAATGTTAGTGATCGTTGGTTTCTTTTAAAAAACTTTCGCCTTTTCTCGTGCGTTTCGTATTTAAATCGGTAAATAGTATCAAAACTGGATAAAAACGCGAGTGTGGTGATAACTCGATTCAAGACGAAAAATTTTGTAGTGTCATCCTACACATGGGAATTAAATACCACGAAATTATGAAAGTAAGTTCCCTTTTGGAAATTTTCGCCCTGATAAAATACATAGAAATTGCATATCAATGCACTCTAAGACGACATCATAAATAGTTAAATATTGCTACGGATTCTAGTAAGTTGTAATTAGCTCTCGGTTCTCTTTTGTTCAATTAGGACTCAGTTGAACAAATAGATAAACCAGCATTTGTTGAATAAGCATTTGTTACTAAGTAAATGATGAGGAGGTAATGCAGTTGTACTATTTTTTAGCTACAGATTTTTATTTCGGCATTTAAAATAATAATTCGTAAATATTCCGGAATGGCACGTAAACTACTACCCAAATGTCTTATTAACAATATAGCACAAAAACAAAGCATGCCATAGAAAGGAGGAAGTAAAAAACGCAAAGTTGAGAGAGTAATTCGTAAATATCTCATTTTATGTTTGCACATAATTTACTATACTTAAAAAAGCTCTGCCTATTTATTTCAGATTAACCCAAAAAGTACTATTTTACAAACAAACAATGAAGTTAAAGAACCGAAAACACCGAAATTATGGGAGAAGGAGTACAAATTGAAAATAAAATACCAAACTAAAGAATTGTGTCACTAGGATGTAAGACACAAGCTACTAACTGAAGTATTGATGATCGAAAAAGAAATAAAGAAAAAAAAGTTGAAGAAAAAGGAATTTGAAATATTATTGTTGAATGATGTAAAAATGGCATAATTTTGTCCAAATTTTATTAATAAATTTGTTATATCAAAAATGTTATTGTATGAAATTTCTTCTTGCAATATTTTCTATTAATGTAGAAGGCACCTGTCAACTCTGCATTCGTGGACGTCTATATTCTACAAAATCGAAACTTTCTTTCATGTTCACTTTCTTTCTTTCTTTACAATCACTATGTTATGGTCCGAAGATTGAACTATACCTTTTCCGAAATTTCTTTTCATCGTAATACTCAAATGGATTAATTCGCTCACGATGTATTCTGTCTCGAAACATATCCATATAATCCACGTCGCCCATGTCAATAGAATCAATAAAATTGAAGACCTCCATAATAATCACCACAAATAAACGAAAAGAGAAATAAAACACAACAGTAAACGGTAGCTTGCAATGACCCTTGAGTATTGGTGATCTGTAGCAATGGCTAAAACACGCGTTAAACTAACATCTGGCAGTGGTTTAAATTTAAACAATGTCCAACCGCTGTCCATCCCAAAACAATGGTTAGGCGCGAATTTATGGTACAACTTTTTCTAAACATCTGGTGAACAACTGCTTAAACGTTTTTGTGGTAAGACTGAAGATTTGTGCTACGTACGCGTTTTTCGTTTTATCGCTGCTTCCGTTTCTACACTTTCGACGACTTGGCATCATTTTGGACTTTGATTTGATAACGATCGGAAAAGTTTTTTTAGTAATCATATCAACAACTTGGCATTACGTTGGACCCTGATTTGCTTACTATTTGGACCGTGTTGTTTGTGTGTGATCGACGGCTGCGCCTCCGGATACTGTCTTCATACAGTTAAAATGGCAGATCAACGGAATATCGTTGGAGAAAACCCCGAATTCACTCATAGTGATTACGCTGACATGTACCTAATTTACGGCGAAACTAGACGTGTTTCTGCTCGCGGCATCGTATCGATAAATGCAAGATTAGCAGCAAGATTGTATGCGGTAAGATTTCCTAACCGTAGGCCACCGACCCCTGAGACCATAATAAGAGTTGATGCTGAATACAGAGAGGGTGGAACCCTGGCCATCGTGGTGGAGGCAGACCTCGTACCGTCGCAGACGAAATAGTTTTGCAGGAAGTGTCAAGAGATCCGTCCACTTCAGTTCGCCTGATAGAAAGACGGACTGGCATTTCAAAGTCTACGGCACAGCGAATTTTAAAAAGGCCACCCATACCATATTCAGAGAGTTCAAACTTTACTGCCGAGCGATTACGCTAAACGCGTACAGTTTTGTCAACAAATGCTTCAAAAGCACAGTGAATATCCCAACTTTTTTAATACGATTTTGTGGAGTGATGAATCAGCATGTCGCAGAGATGGCTATGTAAATCTCCACAATATCCATTAGCAGGCAGTTAGAGAATCCGCACGAGAGAAGAGAAGATCGGTCCCAACACCAGTTTAAAATTAATTTATGGACCGGAATTTTCAATGGGGAAATATTTGGTCCAGTTGAACTGCCTCCGACTCAAAATGGCGAAAATTATTTAGAGTTTTTACAAAACCATTTGCCAAACCTTCTCGAAGATGTGCCAATAGCATTACTAAGAAGAATGTGGTTTCAAAATGATGGGTGTCCAGCCCACTACGCTCGCGACGTCCGAACGCACCTCGACCAGACGTTCCCACGAAGATGGATTGGCCGATTGGGACCAATTTTGTGGCCACCGAGATCACCTGATCTGAACCCCCTCGACTTCTTCTATTGGGGGTGCTTAAAAGATAAAGTTTACTCCAAAGCTATCACTACAGAAACCGAACTACGACAACGAGTCTATGAAGCAGCTCGAGAAATTTCTCAAATGAGTTTGAGGCGTCTGAGAAGCTCATTCGTCAAAAGATGTCGCATGTGCATTAGAGTCAGTGGGAGGCAGTTTGAATACTTGCTATAATATCTAATAAAAATTAAAATATTTGAATTTTATTGTTTTATTTTCCATTAAGTAAAAACGGCGACAAATCAAGCGACACACAATAGCATGCCACGATATTAGTAGCTAAATCCGCATGCTTTTGGGAAGTTTGATTTGTCACAGTTTGTTTGTACCAGTTCAGAGAGAGAAAGAAAAGCCTAGTAACTATCTCACTCCTTTATTACGAATACAACGTGGGAAAAAGATTGATGCGCCGTTACCTAGCGCTTAGCAATTAATTCATTTAAAAGATTAAATTTAATTTTGTTTAGAAACTGATTAGGCTGGTAGGGTGTTATGACGAAAAATAAATTAAATGACTATGTTCTTGCGAAAAATCTCAATAATATTGTACCATTCCTGATTCTGCATTAAGTGGAGCAATTTTTAAGATCATTTGCAAAGTCAGTTTAATACATTTTTTTTCACACTAGCTATTCAAAGTTAACGTTTAACTTTTTACAAGGGTACGAGGTATACCAAATTAATAACTTTTTTCACATTTTATGACATTTATCAGATAAAATATTACTTGCAGTACCTGGAAAAGCTATTCAGGTTACCTGAAAAATAAAAACAACTACCATCTGGAGCTAACCCTGGCAATAGTAGCAAAAAACTCAATAAAAAGTAGAGTTATTCTAAAAAAATAAAAAAGTGCAAATATCTCGAAAACTAAAAGACTTTTACTAAGGTAAAATTAATTTTTTCTGGTAGGTATATAGCTCACCTACCCACAGTGTCGCTCTGGCGTGTTATTTTTGGGACACCCTGTATAACTAGAAATAGAGACGAAATAAGGGTCATCGCTGGCAACTCATCCGACAAATGGGTCTTATATCACTTTTAAATATTAACTCTGTTTGCGCTGAAATCACAAATTAAAAACCTGAAATAGTACAGCGCCAAAAACTGACCTGTGTGTACGTCTCCATATATTCCAAAAATATTCAATATTTATTGTAACAAAGATAATATCTCTAACAATAGGAGGCTGTACAATTCAGTGGTGTGGGTAAAAACAGCAAAACATCTAATTACAAAACAAACGGAATCATATTTCATCGGTAATTAAATCTTCATTTATTATAGCAAAGCTCAATTTAAACTGATCGATTTGAAGTGAAACAATTGACGACACCCGTCAATTGTTTCGAATTCGAGCTAGCCAATCGCAGCGCAGTTGTCACCGTAATGATTTGGCAGAATAGTTTTTAAATAAATAAAATGACATTTCATCTATTTCTGGTTATACACTCGATGCTCTCGCGCTAGTCGCGCCCTGTCGTGCTAGCTCTACAGTTATGTTAGTAGGACATATGAAAATACGCACCGTTAACAGTGGGAGACCCATAAACGCCTCCAGGCCACTCTGTAGTAACAGTGTACTGGTGATGGCGGTACTCCGGGCGTCGATACAGGATCACGGACGTACCTTTAGGGGCGTAGCCGTACTGAAATTATTTGAAAATAAATAAAAAATAAGCCATCAGGGCAATATATTGCGTTTACGTTATTGATAATGTGGATAAGAAATTATCGAACTTGCACAATCTGCCCTCCTAATTATAACAAACACAATCGACATACATACATAAATACATATCATTACGCCTGTCTCCCACCAGAGTAGACAGAGACCTCCACCTGCTATGCTTCTGACAAACCTCCTTCGCCTCCTCCACTCCCACTAGACAGTTTTAGTAGCAGTAGAGTTCTACCTTGCCTATTTCTGCCGCCAAGCAGTAATGTCAGCATTACTGTGTTCCGGTTTTGAAGGGTAAGGGTGCTGGTGAAATTACAGGCACATGGGACTTGTCAACTTATGTTTCAGAGTGACGAGCGCAGAGGCAGTGTCCCTCAAATCTTTGTGATTTAAAGCTCTGAGTGGCACTGCAACTGTTATAGACAGGCGTATTACCATCAGGCGCACGAATTGTTCGTCCCGTCACTTGATATAATTTAAAAATATAAAAAAATAAAAAAAACGTCTCTTCATGCCCGTTTATTCTCGGTACTTTTATCGCAATCTGATTGGGAACATTTTTGGCAAAATGTGGTCATTAACATTATCTGGGATCAGTGAAATGAAATCTACAACCTCCTCTTATCGTTTTTTTTTTATATCTTTTTTTTTACTCATTTTACTCACAAAAAGCTTTAGGTGCCAATATCTCGAAAGTTACCGAAATGCAAATGCGATAGTTATGACATGGAGGGCAGCGTTGAGTTTTTTCTTTGTTGGTGGAAGTTAAAAAAAGATACAATAAGTTTCAAATTTTCGATAAAGGACAACTGCATGCAAGCTATGCACTTTACCTAATTGTCATTACTTAGGAGAGTAGGTAGTTACTAATGGTCGTTACTTAGGAGAGTAGGTAGATATAGTTATTGTTCATAATATTCCTTCTCGCTCAGCTGCTGCCCGATTTGCATATTCTCTACCTAATAAGGTTGAGACTTTCTGTTTTATTTTTGGCTAATAGAATAAGTACGGAAAAATAACATAAAATATTTGTTTACTTATAGGAATTGGTGAACAGTCAAACGGCGGGCCCTTGATGGAAAGTTGTTACTGCACTGTATATAAATAACTACTGTATCTCTGATTGCACTGACACTCCTAACCCTTCCATACCAATGCTGCTTTGCAATAGTAGGTTTGGTACTTAACCACACGGGTTTTGCATTGAAACATCTACCACAATTAGGTAAACTATTCATATAAAAACCTTATGCGTGTCAGCAGATATGCTAGCAACACCAGGCAGCCGGAAGTCGAATACAGGCACAGGGTGGCCAGCGGCTGGCATGAATGCAGCCACGAAGCCACCGAGACACGCGTCTACGTGTAACGGAATGTCGTATTCTAACGCCACATCCGATAGTGCTACGATGTCGTCCATTGTTCCGTATGGATAATTAGGTGCTGAACCCACAATCTGTAAGAGCAATAATTAAGACTAATTATATTAATATCCACTGTACATAAATACATTTTCACAACTTACACATTTATATGCAAGAAGGAAACATCGATTATACATAGTAGATTCAGACGTCACTTGGAAGTATCCTTTTTGAAAAAAATTAAATACTTAATTTACTTTACTACATCGCGAAACACGTATCGAATATATGTTTGCCGGTGATGTTTGTGACTGTAATAGCGCTTGTGCTATTTATTTTATGCGGAGGGAATGTGAGATAATTAACCGCATGTAAACAATATTCAACACAAGCGATTTGCGAAGATTATTTGGAACGATGTTCCCGAAGTAGCCAGGCATCCATTTTTATTATACATCACTCAAACAAGGTACAAGAAAAAAAAAAAAAAATTATTGTATACAATAAAATATTTAATAATCAGCTTACCAAGCAAGTTCTTGTTCCAATAGCCTTTTTCACAGCTTCCACATCAACAGTCATACTTTCAGGGTTTACCGGTATAGTTTTAACCGACAGCCCTAAATATTGAGCCGCTTTATCAAAGGCCGAATGTACCGTTGATGGCACTATAATCTGAGGGTTCGATATTCCTTTGCTGTATGCCAAGTCACGGAACGCTTTACAGGCCATTATGATGGATTCGGTACCTCCTGTGGTCACCTGGAAGTGAAAGATTAATGTGATTGGAATTAGGGAATAAATTAATGTGCTTGACACAAAACCTTCTCAAGCGAGTATCATACTTACTTTTTTTGTTTCGACTCGACATTACTTCGACTAACCATTAATTCGATAAGAACGCTACTTAGACAAAACATATTTTCGGCAGGTCACTATTCCGACAGAACATGAAATATTTAATATAAATATTTGCTGTACTGAGAGATTACTTAGGGACCACTTCATTCTTGAGGGAATATCTCATGTACATAAATATGTCTGAGAAATAATTGAAACTAGTTAAGCACTCATTTGTCAATTTCATGTTCTGTCGAATACATATGTTGTCCTAGTAGCTTTCTGTCGATGTAGTGACCTATTGAATGTTTGTGTTGTCAAAGCAGTGATCTGTCGGGCTAGTGACCTGTGTAACATGTGTTTTGTCGAATTAGATAGTATTCCGTCGAATTAACGTGTAGTCGAAGTACTGTCGAGTCGAAATAGTGTTTGTCGAAATTCAGTAAGACACTCTTTTCAAGCTGATCTAAATTCAAACCAGACTATCCGTTTCAAGTATAAAAGATTTCAAATTAGAGACATTACTAAGATATAACATTCTATGTATATATCACGAATTCATAAGTGAATCGTTATGTAGTCGTCGTAAAAGAATCTGAACTCTTTAAAAAACAACAATCACGTATTCCATTTTATATAATCTTTCCACAAGTATAAAGACTTTACTACCAATAAAACAAATCACAATTTCTGAACAACTTGTACATGGAAATTGTAACAAAGACAAACAAACAATTAAGATAATGATGTACGCTTAAGATTGTGTTAGCCTTGGTAGAACAATTAGCGTTTATTGCAACTGTGAGTTTGTATGCTCTAGTGTGGCATTGGTTAATTCTAATAAGTTACGCAACTTGTTGCCATAAACTAAATATTCACGGGTTGTTTTAACTGTTAAGCTTCAGTAAACGCTTCCTAATGAAAATTATACAAATGAACGTTCCGTAATATAGTGACTCAAGTTGGTCTTAATGTGATGGATACTAGGGGAAACTTTTCTCTCATTTTTAGACTAATTTGAAAATTGTATCTGACTCTCTCTTTCGTATTGACACAGTGTGTGGGCCATAATTTATTTACGAATACTATGATATGCAGATCTCTATATATTGTACTTACACAAAATCACCAAAATCAAAATTTTATCGCGATAATATGGTGACAACATACTTACATATATTAAGATAATTATTAATACACTAACAATGTCTCATTAAGTACTTCATAGAGTACTGAGTACAAATTCCGACATCATTCTATCGCATTAATACTAAACTACATTATCTATACGGACGTTGTTTTAGGTAGGTAATATAGAATACACGCGATTTCGATACGAAAAAATTTTATCATTTCCAATGCGTATCATTTGCGAAAACCTAAGAACTCGATACAGGTTATAACTTCGACTAAGTTAATTAATTAATACAAACTATAAATTTTATAATTAATAATTAAATAAATTAGTGCAGTAATTTCACAAAAAATAATTGAATATAATAGTGGTGTGACCCATCCTGACATTCAATAAAGGTAATTTCAAAGTAGTTGTTCGAAACTGAAGCCTCTCTACGAATGGCATATTAAATGCTTAGAAGTGTTTAACGTGAAAATTTTGGATATTTCTAGTTTTATTTTTTGAAATTATTGACGTCGTTTTACTCATTAGGTAGCGTACTTTCGACATCAGTTTAAAGATTTTTTTTATATCTCTTATATTCACGGAATAATTGCCTCGGCATACTTAACTATTACACCCTGTATAGTTAATCTTCATGTTTGGTTACGTAGTATTTTAACAAGATCATTGATTTTATCCATCTGGATAATCCAAATGGATTATATTAAGTGTTTTTTTTTTGCATTGGGGCTGACATGTTCAATAATGATCAAAGCACCAAAATAAATTAAAAGTAAAAAAAAATATAACTATCATTGTAGCGTAAAAGTTACTGCGAAATGGCCAGGATACAGTATAAAGAGTCTAGAAAAAGTGTTGCCTGCTTAACATTAGTAAACACGCATTGCGATCACAGCTGTCCTCGTGTGTATGATCCCACTTCGACAAAAACAAGAACAATTATTATGCCACTTTCACAATTCGTATGCCACTTTGGCTTATTGCAGAGATTCCATAAAATTATTATTATCATCTATATCATGTACCTGTAATAACGAATGAATAAATGAATTGAATTGAATTGAATTACGCAGAGCTGACTGCCAACCGACACTAGTTGGAGGGTCAAACTAAATATTAAACATCATACCGTGCCACAACAATCGTCATCGCCATGGAAAAGGTTGATGGCCATCCGTACCACCTCAGCCTCCATCTTATTGATGCCAGGAAATACATCAGCGTGCAATGGATTGGTATACGCTGTTTGTGAGTAAGCTTCGCACGCCACTCTGGTTATATCCTCATTGACGTGGTATACTGCTCCGGAGATGTTCCCACTCTTATAATCATATGCTCCTGATAAAAATAAAAATTCCTATGCATATTACTTGTTTGGTTCCACTCATAATAATAAATAATGACATTTGACCTACAATACATAGATTTGTGTTACAAGCATAAAGTGAATTTGATTCCCCATTGTCTCCCAAGTTTCTAATTTCCACATCAAGACACTCAACGTTTGTTGTCAACTCTCATACCACAATGCATTTATCTGGTTATGGCGAAGAATATAACATTACAGGCAATAGGGCACATCTGCATCACACGAAATTATTAAAACTACAAAAAAAAATTATATTGTCAGATAATAGTAATTATAGCTACTCCTACTATAATACATATTTGTTTTTATAGTTTGGTCATGAAGTGTACATACATACTATACTAATATATACTAACCTAAATTAAGATGATCGTTGACCTCTTCTGAAACCTGTTCAGCAGTGAGTCCATTCGCCGGAAGCGTTCTCCTAACTGGCACCCCGGATAGTCTCTTTGTCACCTCTTTGCGGAAGTCCCTATTAATCTCATCCATCTTTTCCTGAATCTTCCGTTTAACTATAGGTACTTGACGCAACCATCGAAAGAATTGTTTGCGTAGTCTTGTTGTTGGACCTAAACAAGTATATTTTGAACATTGAACTTTGTACATACATCCCTGAAACATTATATACATACAGCGTGTCCCAAAATTCAACGATAAGCGGGCGCTGGAGGGTGGACCTGCGCATAACTACTTGAGGAAAAATAAGAAAAAAAATTTATATCATTTTTTTTTAAATTACGATAAAAAAATTGTTATTCTTCGAAAATTTACTCCCTTAATGATATTTTAAATCACCACGACCACAATTTTTCA